TGATACAGGTGGCTCCCACGCGACAGCGTGGCAGTGAATGGGAGCAGCAGGAACCATGTATCCTTCAACAATAAATTAATTCTGGGGCAGCAAAAGTATTAGAGTTTCTTTTGTGACAAAACTTGGAATCGGAAGAGCTCAATGAATCATTTATATACAACAAATGATGTGGACAAAACTGTTGCTGGCCAAAACTGGTTTGGCTCAGTGGATAGAGTGTCAGCCTGAGAACTGAAAGGTCCCTGGTTCGATTTTGGTCAAGGACATGTATCTTGGCTGCAGGCACATCCCCAGTGGGGGGTGTGCAGGAGGCAGCTGATCGATGTTTCTCTCTCATCGATTTTTCTAGTTCTCTATCCCTCTCCCTTCTTCTGTAAAAAAATCAATAAAATATATTAAAAAAAAGAACTGCTGGTTTCATATTGTGGCTGGCTGGCAAGATAGACGTATATACAGATATACACATGAACACTTACATGTATAACACCTACATCATATATATACATTATCATGATATAGATTGACATATCAGTCTATATCAGATTCTTTCCACATACATCCATACCTATGAGACTCTACATTGTGACCAAGATAATTAAGTTCTTTGGGTTACCTTTTCCTTTGCATCAAATGAGTTAATAAACACACCAACAAAAACCAATGGATCTTTTAGGACAAATGATCATATGCTGTTACATGAATGGCAAATTTCAACAAGCAGGAAAATTTTAAGTGCTGTATTTGTTCCACAATGCACAGAACCTGTTATAATTTTAACTGTGCTGTGGAAATATACTAAGTTCCTTCTGAAAACTGAATTCCTTGAAATAGCTAAGGCAAATTTCCATATTATAGTTATTTCACAATATAAGTCCTACTGAGATAATCTTCATTCGATTTAAGCAATTTTTTTAAACTTTAGACAACAGATTACATAGTCAATAACAACAGTGACATCCCTCCTCAGAAAGGAGAAAGAACCTGCAAAAAATAGGGCAGTGTTTTGTTTTTTAGTTTGTCAAATAAAAAACAAACAAACAAAAAAAAAACAAGAACTAGGGGGAAAGTCTTTATTCAAATACTCTTAGTACAGCTAAGAGGGGGAAACCCTGTTAATACTATACTGTTTAAAAAAGAGAGAGAGAGAGCCGAAACTGGTTTGGCTCAGTGGATAGAGCGTCGGCCTGCAGATCCCAGGTTCGATTCCAGTCAAGGGCATGTACCTTGGTTGAGGGCACATCCCCAGTAGGGGGTGTGCAAGAGGCAGCTGATTGATGATTCTCTTTCATTGATATTTCTAAATCTCTATCCCTCTCTGTCTTCCTCTCTGTAAAAAGTCAATAAAATATATTTTAAGAGAGAGAGAGAGAGAGAAAGAGAGAGAGAGAGAGAGAGAGAGAAAAGAAGGAAGAATCCCTTTGAGTATTTCTAATTTTTTCTTCACAGCAGCCTCAGAAATAATTAAGAATATAAAGTATCTTCATAAAGGATAATTTTTTTTTAAAGTTAAAGTTGCAAAAATTTGTTGTATATAAATACTGGAGTTACTGTCATTAAAAAAAAAACAATAAAATCAGCTTAAAATAAATTTATTGTACAATACAAAAAGCATACTAGAAAATAAAAGACACATTCTTAAATATACAAAGCAAATGAAAGAAAGCTAAATAACACAAATGTTTTAATCCAAACATGAAGATTGAAATGCACAACATTTATGCTAAAAATAAAGTATTTCAAGAAGGATATACATTTCAAATGAAATGTTAATAATGAATGAAAAGAAAAACAAAATACGTTGACTTTAAGTGCTTGAATATCAAGAATCAGAAATGGCATGAAACGTTAAATCCAACAGTATAGCACTGGGGATATTTCAAGAACTATATTTGAAAATGTGTTAAAACACTGAAGGGATTAAAATAATGTCGTTAAATCTGGCAAAGATTTCCCCCTTTTTTGCAAAGTAAAGTTGGAGGGCCTATTCACAATGCCCCTGTCTTCCATTTATGCCTTCCTACAACTCTCTGGATGCTCCTCCTTAATAAGAGTCTATAAATACAGCAGAGGACAGAGCACTACCCCGATGGTAAGTGTGCATTTAGCCTTACCAACGTAAAAAGGTGCCACAAATTAACCATTTTGAAATCTATATAAATATGAATACAATATGAAACACTAAATTACCATTTACAAAGTAAAGCTAACCCACAAATAAAATAGTAAAACGTAAGAATTTAGAGGACATGAGGAGGGAGGGGGATTAATGCCTTTTTTGCAAACTGTGAATTAAGGCATTCAGTTCCCCAAACCACAAATGGCTCTGGTGAAACGTATACTGTCTCAAGGTCCAGCAGAGGTTAGGCCTTCACACACATTACTCCCCTGTGGACGGCCATACCAGAAGCATCCAGTAAGAATATGCATCTGTACATTAGAGGAACATTCAAACCACCATAAAGCCCTTGGTAAAATCCTCTAAAACTTCACATGACATATAAATATATGCCTCGACACAAGAAAACTATCAAGTTCTCCTCCTAGATCCCACCCGGCACCTCCAAAATCTACAAGTTTAAAAATGAATTAACAAAAAGCACCTGGAAGCCGTGAGAAAACGGAGAGAACAAAGGTGCATGGAGGAAGGAGGGAGAGTGAATAGGTCCTACAGAACTTTATCATCACTTTGCCAAGATAGACTTTAAATACTTTGAATTATTTGAAATCAGACTGTGTAGAACCTATAGTTCTTCTCGTAAAAACAAGTTTTGATTCTCAATATTCCATTTTTATAATCAAACAAAAGGATTCAGTCTAATAGATATTTTAGTAGAATACTCACTACCTTCAAACTCAATTTCCCAAGTACTCTTAAAGAGTTCAATGAGAACAAACTTTGATGTTATAATTTGTCATAAAAGATTCATTAGCATTTGTAAAAACTATTAGAATAAAATTACTAAAAGCTAAAGCCAAGATTCACCAATTTTATTTAAATAACAGAAAAGGCTATGTATATAATAGAAAATAAAACTGTTCAGGTAAACATTTTACTTGAAGACACTCACTACTGCTGCTTCTGGTGATCACAGCTTCTTAGCAGAGGGCATGACACTATCTTGTACCTGAAATTCTTTGGCTGGAATGTTTAGTAACATAAGACACTCCTATACATGATAATGCTGATAGAACATAGGAGTTGCAAAGTAAAAAAGCAAAAACATGACTTATAAAGTGTTAGATAAAATTTTAAATGAATTAAAAAAAATTTAAAGCCAATCTATCACTTGGCATGACATGTAAACATAAGCTAATTTTATAATCTGCTCTATTAAATAATTTGGGATTCATTATTTTGCCTTTTTAAGTTTTCTTTTTAGTTTAGAAATACTTGTTATTGCCATTAAAGACATCTTGTCAATTTTAAAACTGGAAAAGAACAAAATTTAATGAAACACTTCTAAGTTCAATGTGTTTTAGAACCAACAAATTACAAATTTCTATTACTATTTTAAATGGGGTTATCTGACTCTATAATTAAATTTTTAATTACACCAGAAAAAATTTTAAATCCTTTTAGCATTTTTTAAAATAAAGCAAATTTGCTTTACTTAAATACTTTTTAAAAACTGGCAAAATCTACTTTTTAATTGATTATTTTACACACAGAATAAAAGGAGAAAAAGCTTTATGGCTCCAGCAGTAAAGGTTGAGAACAGAAAAAAACTCAAATAAATATTTATCGTATGCAAAAACACTAACAATGTGTGATAGGTACTGAAGAACTCTGAAACTAGCGCCACTGCTTTAGCTTTTCTCGCCCAGACTCTCCATTCTATACACTACAGTGGTAGAGATGTCCTCATTTGCCTCAGGTGACACTTTTTTCCACACTGTCTCTTTTAAAGCAAGTTCTTGTTGGAGACTTTCACAGTCCAATGGTCCCAAGGAATGCTAGTTGTTCAAGCAACATACATATTTATTAGTGCACTTGAGTGAAGAAAGGTCCAAGCTACAAAATGGTATTTTTTAGTGAATGTTATTAAAATCTGCTCACATTTTTACCCACCGACATTTGATGTTAGCTCTCCATGTTACTCATGTTGACTCTCATGAGAGTTTCTACTGTGTTGGCTCTGCATAAGTTTCATATTATTGTAAATGACTTTGATTGGAACTAATGACATGAAAATTTACTTAGTTTATGCGTTAAAATATTTTCTTTCTACCTGTAAGTGCTTCTTCATATGCACTTCAAGTCTAATTAGGTAATTCCGTTACATACATTTTTCATAGGGTTGTAAAGGAATTTATTAAAACTCAAAACAAGTTCCTTAGTTCAGTGAACAATGAAAAAAAAATCTTGTTCCTGAAATTTAAGTCCTGACTCCTCATACCAACTCTAAACAACTAGTGTGTGTGTGGGATATGAAGCCAGGCCCACTAATAAGAAAAGAGTACTTATGAGTACCAGGGATAATGCATTAAACACTTTTTGTAGAAAAATATTTCAACAATAGTGGGTCATAAACTTATGAGGCTTTGTATGGTGTATCACTAATACTATAATCCCTTCCATTTATACATCCATCCACGTCAAAGTAAACTTCATTCCAACACTTTATAATTCTAGACATGTATTAGTAAAAAAAAAAAAAAAAAAAAAAGTAAAAACAGGCTTTCCTTTTACAACATGTAGAGCTTTCTAATGTGTCTTAACAGAATCAATTCCTTAAAATATTGCTTAAAATAGCAAAAAATGGGGAGAAAGGAAACCCTGCTGTTAGGCTAACCAGTTTCAATTTAAATAAAACATCATTACTTAGTATCTATGAAGTACTGGTCTAGGATAAAAATGTGAACTTGTTTTACACTCATCTGTGATCAGTATAGATATGAGGCCATTGCCAATTAAACTAAACTTTATTTAAACCAGTGAATCGCATTTTCTCTCTCTTAAAAAAATATTGCATAACAATCAAAATAAGAATTTAGCTTACCCTTTGATCGCCACCTTCTCTTCGAGGATCAAGTTTTTTTGCAAAGTGTCTCAAATTATCATAGTTATGGAAATTACACAGAGAAACAAGATCCTGTAAATAAACAGAGCCAGGTATAAGATATTAGTATTCACTGGCAACTGTTTCTTCATAACTGAATCAATTATACGATGCAGCCCCATTTAACTACTATCTCATACAAAGCACTTCTGTGTGCTGCTAAAGCAACACGATCCATCAGGAAGAAGCCTGGAATCTGAAGAAAAAGATATGGATACACACTTTGAGATCACACACACTTATTAGCATGATCATAGCACTCAGACACTCAAATTGTTTACCTTTCATTTCCTATAAAGTGAGCATTATACTAACAGGCCATATGAAATTCTTTCAAATAACCATAAAACGAAACACCACAAAAATACAAATAAATATTCTGATTACAATCTATTATAACCTGCAAGCAATCTAGTATTATTCTAATTTTTATAGCAAATAAACAACTGAAGACAAGTCAGAGTTTTAATAAAGTGGAGAAAAATATGAAGACCCTGGAAAGTAATAAATGTAAATAAGCCGGAAATTAAAATATTAGCAAGAGTTGAGTCCCAACATAAAATTCTGGTCTAGGCAAGAAGTATGATCATTTTAAATTACAGTGCTGGTTTTCTAAAAAACAAACAAAAAACACCTTTTATGGATAAGTTATTCAATCATGAAATATTAATGAATTATAATAATTTTAATTTATACTACATTTCAAATTACTCCTCCAAGTTAGTATATTTTGCTGAGCTTTTGGAAACCAAATAGTAATTATAACCATAAATATTAAAATACAAGCATCAAACAAGGAATTTTCTGTGAGGATGTTTCTATGAGAGCCCTCTATGAGTAGAGTGCCAACAACCAATAAACTATAAAAATGAGAAAAGAAAAAATAAAATCATTGGATGGCTCATGTTATCTGATCATTTATTTTGTTGAGAAACATGCTTACATGACAGAAGTGAATTCCCTTAACACTGTTGCCCATCTTGTCCAGAGGGGGGGACCAGCACATCATGCCCATGACGTTGGGGACGACCAAAAGAATGCCCCCAGCAACTCCAGACTTTGCAGGAAGACCAACCTGAAAATAATTTTAAAAGAAAAAGGAATATTTATGTCAACATTTTAAAGTAAGACAAGTTATTATGTCCAACAATAGCATAAATGGCTTAAAAGTCATGGCATATTTATTTCTAAATAATAGAATTCCAACTTTAAAAATGTTGAGGGATGCCAAAACCAGTTTTGCTCAGTGGATAGAGCGTCAGCTTACGGACTGAAGGGTCCCGGGTTCGATTCTGGTCAAGGGCATGTACCTTGGTTGCGGGCACATCCCCAGTAGGGGGTGTGCAAGAGGCAGCTGATCGATGATTCTCTCTCATCGATGTTTCTAACTCTCTATCCCTATCTCTTCCTCTCTGTAAAAAAAAATCAATAAAATATATATATATTAAAAAAAATAATAATAAAATAAAAATAAAAATGTTGAGGGTATTTACTAACATGCTTATAATATGATAAATGAAAAACAGATATACAACAGTTGGGATGTATTTACATATAGAGGAATTTTTGAAAGATATTCTAATTCCTAGGCTTATATTTTTGTTTTCTTCTTTGTGCCTATATTTTCTAATTGTTTTTATTATAAACATGTATTTCTTTTAGATACAAAAATGGTTTTCAACAAATATTTTGACTAGAAAATAATGAGAACTTATATCTTCTTAAAAAGATTCTCTGTGGTGCAATGTCAGAGAAATTTTGAGAATTAGAGATAAGATGGTAATTCAAGTTAATCCTCTTCAAGACATTTACCTTTACCTTATGCAAAACTTGATAATTATTATAAGAGACAAAATTAATATCATCAGGACAGTGCTCTTTAATGGCTTACTAACATTCAAACACTGAGTTCCTCCTGCTACAGTAATCTTGTATAAAATTAAACTAAACAAAAATACCACCTGAATGGGATCTACCAATTCACAAGGAATACAAGGGACAGTGAAGGTATCAGCCAAATCTAGACTGTGAGAAACTATACATATAAACGATCCAGTTTTTTCAATCCAAAATAACAAGAAAAAAGAGAAGGCAGATTAAAGAAGAAAAATAAAGGGAGATACAACCAATCATAATTTGAAGGTACTCTTTGCAGCCCAAATCAAAGAGAAAAATAATAATGTATAAGACAGTCCAGATGACCTGAATAGTGACTAAACATTTTGATGATATTAAAGATTAAGTTCTTTAAAACTTAAGTAGTCTATACTAACCTTCTATATTGGGAATGCCTTAAAAGAAGTGATGAGGTTCTATAAACAAAACTTCAGGTTCTAAAGAACATCTGGTAGACTGCTTACTAGTAACTCTATTCCTTACCAATTCTGTAACCAATTAACCTTGAAAACAAGACTCTCTTAAAAATAAATGTACAATTTGAGAAGCAAAGTTCAAACTGCAATTTTAAAAGAACTAGTCCAAACTAGTTTCTTGATAGAAAATTAAGATTAAACAGTAACTTACATGGAAAGCAAACTGCCCTGAGAAATCATACATGCCACAGGAATGCATCAAACTCAGTGTGTTTCGAACCGCTTCAGGGCTCAGTACTCGTTCACCAGTAATTGGGCAGAAACCGCCATTAGCCAGTGTTGCCGCCATCACACTAGCCGATTCACAGGTTACCTCAATGGAGCATAACTAAGAGGAAGCAAAAAACGAATTCTGAAAATCTAGGCTTACATTGTTTTTAGTATTGCATTTGACTTCTAAGATAATGTTTTACCTGGCATTTCATACATATCTGAAATGATCCTAATGGGATCATTTTAATATAGCTTGACATTCTAAAGATTTTAATTTGAACAAAGTTCTAACCCCTTTAAGGTTTATTCTGATTTTCCCAGTTATTCAGTCTTTTTATGGCAAAACTAGGCTAGGAAGAGCCAGGCACTAAGCACTAGTATTTGTAATTGCTCCATGTGATGTTCAGAACTGCTTAGTATTTAATGCTTTCTGTAAGATACACAAACATAATTATTAACTCAACAGGAAAAAAGGAGCCATGACATATTTTAGATATAGATGTACCTATTATACTGCTCTATCAGAAATTGCCACTTTAGAGAAAAAAATGCTTAATTGCCCAACCTTTCGCCTATAACAAAGCTCAGCATCCACATATGGCTGTTAACATGCAAAGGATTCAGTGAAGAAAATCGAAGACAGTTTTAGCCTGGATACATGTGTGCCTAGAGCAAAGTGCTTCCTTTTAATCACCAACTAGCATGCTAGAATTTATTTGCTATGGACCCTGGGTGCTGGGTATACTATGATGAAAATAGAAAAGGAAAGCCCAGGTACATTGCAGAGAAAAATTTTTGTAGTTAAATATAAACAAACTAATGGAAAAAGTTTACCATACCAAACCCAAATTCACCCATACTACTAAAACAATAAATATGGTCTATTTCAATTTTCATTAACAGCAAACAAATGGGGGGAAAGTAGAGGAGAAAGAGGGACTGGGAAAGAGAAAGAAAAAAACTGAGTTCTTGACTCAGAAACTTTCTCTCGCACCTTAAGATCTATACACGAGGGTTTAAAGAGAGCAAAGAGTAATTACTGTAGTGACTGGAAGCCCCTTTTTTGACTGACTTTCACTTTTGCCTATTTCTATTAAAGCCTCTCTCCAATTTCCCCCCAAACTACAGAATATAGTTAACTATACTGACCCATCCAGCAAATGCAAAGGTTAATGTAATCATGAAAGCCTTTCTAAAATAAATAAATTTAAATGCTAATAGCCATTTCTTAATTTATACTTAGTATTAATTGGAGTTGTGTATCCTAAGGCAATATACTCTTAATATGAGCTGACAGTATTGGGGGGAGTGATGTCCAGGAAGACTATCTTTAATTGAGTCCGTACCACAACTGATGATGAGAATGGAGCTTGCTATCCTAACTTAAAAAGAAAACCCGCTATGTGACCGCAGAAACAAACTGAGAAACTTCACCTATGAACCCTCCGTTAACTCCTCCAAACAAAATGTAAAAGTTAAGAAAACAGGGTTCCATTTTTAACAAGAAGTCATCAATTGTTTCTAACACTTCTTAATAATGTGAATTTTCCCTATTACCTCCTAAGTCAAGACTTTTTAGGAGATACACACATGAGAGTGTCTTTCATGAGTATATTGTTATGAATGTCAATGGAAAATGTATTTTCTCTTGGCCCAAAGGCAAGATTTCAGAGATATCTATTTGTGCAAAAATGATATACCCATTTATTTGTATTTACAATTCATATATTTAAATTACCTGGAAATAGAAGTCTAATATACCAACCATGTCTGTGCCTTCTGGAAAACACTGAAAAAAATAGAAAGGCAATTAAAAATGTACAAACACGGGGGGAAATACAGATGTTAAGATTAAATTTTAAAAATATACATAGCTGTTTTATTTTAATTGAGAACAAAATAGCACATAACCTATAAAAGGGTATAAACATGAAATCACAAAGAATAAAACACAATTACATCACATATAGTCTTCTAGATTCTAGTTTAACTGACAAATATAAACTGATTCATAATTCATAAACCAAGTTACTGGACCAGCCAACTTAAAATTTTAAAAATCAAGTGCAATCAACAATAGTCAGGGATTTGAATAAATGGGTGAATCCTTACACAAAATATGCATTAACATAACTAGTCAAATATTTGAATACTGCCAGATACAAATCCATTTAATAACATGAACACTTTGATAGCATAACTCAAGGTTATTTTATAAAAACTTCTGAATCTTAAATAGTAGGTAATTGTTTAAAATTGTTGAATTCTTAGCATGCATCTTCATACGTTTTGTTAAGTAAAAGAATAACTTGAAATAGAACAAAAGTTAAAAACCTTTTTTTCTTTTAAGTAATATCCTATTGCAAAATTTCGATCTCCACTTTCTCTTTCAGACTGAAACCTAGAGGGAAAAAAAACACACACATTTGTTTTATTTCTGTAAAAGTATGGTTCTGTAGCTTAATTAGTACACACAATTGCAGTATAAAGAACATGGACCACATGGTCAGGATGCTGGGTCTGTCCCAGTTCTGTCAATAGGCTTGCTAGCTATGTGGCCTTCAGCAAGTCTTTTCAGTGACACCTCCTATCTTAAATTTCTCAGCTATAAAAAGGTTAAAATTAGTTAAGCACTTTCTAATCCTATTTTTTAAGAAGCTAATTACCAAATATTCCACCATTAAAATATACTAGAAAAATGCAGAATTTTCTAGCTCCCTCAAAAACACAAAACTCTGAGGAGGGAGGGTATGTATTGGACTTAGCAGCTCTATCCAATACATAGAAACAAACACAGAGAAGCAGCCAAAGCATGGAGACAAAGAATCATGTCACAAATGAAAGAAATGGAAGCAAGCAAACTACTGGATATAGAGTTCAAAACCATGGTTATAAGGTTACTCAAGAATCTTATAGAAACCTCCCAGGGACTTAGTGAGATTTTCAAGGATCTTAGTGAGAATGCCAAAAAGATGAAAAAGGACCAGTCAGAAATTAAGCACTGACTGAAATAAAGAATAATATACAGAAATTCAACAGTAGACTAGAGGATCCCAAAAATCAAATCAATGATTTGAAATATGAGAAAGCAAAAAACACCCAGCCAGAAGAGCAAAAGAAAGAAGAATACAAAGATATGAAGACAGTGTAAGGAGCTTCTGGGACAACTTCAAATGTACCAACATTTGCATTATAGGGGTGCCAAAAGAAAAGAGAGAGCAAGATATTGAAAATCTGTATGAAGAAATAATGACAGAAAACTTCCATTACTTGGTGAAAGAAATAGACTTACAAGTCCAGGAAGCACAGAGAACCCCAAGCAAGAGGAATCCAAAGAGGACCAAATCAAGACACATCATAATTAAAATGCAAAAGACAAAGAGAGAATATTAAAAGCAGCAAGAGGAAAACAGTTACCTACAAGGGAGTGCGCATTCGACTGTTAGCTGATTTCTCAACTGAAACCATGCAGGCCAGAAGGGAGCAACAAGAAATATTCAATATGATAAATAGCAAAAAACTACAACCAAGATTACTCCACCCAGAAAAGCTATCATTCAGAATAAAAGGTCAGATAAATAGCTTCACAGACAAGAAAAGGCTAAAGAATAAAGAAGTTCATCACCACCAAACCAATATTATATGAAATGCTAAAGAGTATTCTTTAAAAAAAAAAAAAAAAATATATATATATATATATATATATTTTTTTTAATTGAGTTTTTATAGAGAGGAAGAGAGAGGGATAGAAAGCCAGAAACATCAATGAGAGAGAAACATCGATCAGCTGCCTCTTACACACCCCCTACTGGGGATATGCCTCAGTCAAGGTATATGCCCTTAACCTGGGACCTTTCAGTCGGCAGGCCGATGCTCTATCCACTGAACCAAACCAGTTTCGGCTGAAGGGTATTCTTTAAGAAGAGGAAGAAGGTAAAAGAGAAAGAATATGAACAAAGTAGCAACAAATACATGTTTATCAACAATCTAAAAAATGAAACAAATAAAAAATATGATGAACAGAATAAACTGGTGAGTGGAATAGAATCAGGGCCATGGAAATGGAACAGAATGACGATTCTTAGAGGGAAGGGTGTGTGGGAAGAGAGATTAGATAACTTATTTGCCTATATGCATTACCTATGGACACAGACAATAGGTGGCAAGAGTCTGAGCGAGATGGGAACTGGGTGGAGGGGAATTATGGGAGTGAAATCTCTGAAATAATCTCAATAATAAAGATTAACTAAAAAAAACTTAACAAAGAAGACTAGGATCAAATTATCAAGACTGATAAAAGCAAAGAAATGTAAATAGCTCTTAAATGCCAACAAAATAAAAGCTTAAAGGCTTTTAAACAAGCTACCTTGTTCACTCTATATTTTAGAAGATTGGCTCTGACATCAGTTTGGGAAAGAGAAAAAAGAAAGGATGAGTGATGTTATTAGGTGACTACTGTAATGAGAGTGGTACAGGAAGCCTCTCATTTAGGTAGTGGTGATAGACCTGGAGGGAGAGGTATGATAAAAAATGAGAGCAGTTGTGCTAATCTTCAGACTTGATAGGAACGAAGAGAAATAGTGTGAAGTCACTCTACCTAGGTTTTAAGGAGGGCAGAGTCTAATGGTGACAATGGGGCAAAGACAAGATATAGAAATAGCTCAGTGAATATGAGAACACCGAAGGGTGACAGGAAATTAATAGAAAGCTTCCTGGGAAAGTTATTTAAGCTAATGAATAAAAGTTGACAAAGCAGACAACCTGAAAATGTTTGCCCTCTGAAACATACAAACCATCACCTAATTAGAACTCCTGCTGAAAGTGTTTAAACTTTATCTAATCACAAGGAAACAACCAGGCCTATAAAACAAACAAACGAACAAACAAAACATGGATTATCCACTACAGCCCAAGGGCTAGATACAACTTGCTTCTTGTTTTTATAAATAAGATTTATATGGCTACTTTTCTATTCAAAGTAGAACTAAATAGTTGTAACAGAGACTACTAGTCTAAAATATTTACTACCTGATCCTTCACAGAAAAAGTTAGGTAATTCCTGCACTAGAAAGCAAGTGATTGGCACATAAAAAAAAAAAAAAAAGCCATTTAATAAAAATGTTAAAAGATACTGAGGCAGGTAGACTATGCTATTTTTAAAAGACAAGAGACCATGATTAGTTCCTTGTTTAGTTTATGGCATTTAGAGGACATTTATATATTAACTAGTGCACAAAATTCGGGCGGGGGGGGGTGGGGGGTGGGGTGGGGAGGAGATCCTCAGCCCAGCCTGCACCCTCTCCAATCTGGGACCGCTTGAGGGATGTTCAGCTGCCCATTTAGGCCCGATCCCCAGGACTGATGGCTCCCAAACACTCACCTGTCCGGCTTCCTGATCACCACCCCTTAACCATTCCACTGCCAGCCTGATCAACGCCGAACTGCTCCCCTGCTGGCCCAATTGCCCCTAACTGTCCTCCCCTGCAGGCCTGGTAACCCCTAACTGCCCTCCCATGCAAGCCTGGCTCCTTCCCACCCCCCAACTGCCCTCCCCTGCAGGCCTACTCCCCCCAACTGCCTTCCCTTGCAGGCCTGGTCCCTCCTAACTTGCCCTCCCCTGTTGGCCTGGTCTCCCCCAACTGCCTTCCACTGCTGGCCCAGTTACCCCTAACTGCCCTCCCCTGCTGTCTAAATGACCATAACTGCCCTCTCTTGCAGGCCACCTTGTGGTGGCCATCTTATGTCCTCATGGGGGCAGCTAACTTTGACCACATGGGGGCAGCCATCTTGTGTGTTGGAGTGATGGTCAATTTGCATATTACTATTTTATTAGAGAGGATATCACATGTTAGTGTTAAGTGTCGGTGATACTGAAGTTATGTAGGAAAATGTCCTTATTCCTAGGATATACAGGTGAAGTTATTTAAAAGTGAAGTGTCATGATGTTTCAAACAGTTCAGAATAAAAACCACCCTCATAAATGTACATTTACATTATCTATCTATCTATCTATCTATCTATCTATCTATATAAAAGGCTAATATGCAAAGTGTCTCCTTGGGAGTTCGACCAGGAGTTCAATCACTTGCTATGACATGGGCTGACCACCAGAGGGCAGCATAGAATAAAAGGCCCCAGCAGGGAGGCAGATATCCCCTAAGGGGTCCCAGATTGTGAGAGGGTGCAGGCGGGCTGTGGAACCAACCTCCACCCCCATGTGCAGGAATTTCATGCACCAAGCCACTAGTATATGTGTGTGTGTGTGTAGAGATAGCACATATATTTTTTTACTAAGGAGAGGGGTTGATAAAAAGCAGGTAAGTGGATGACCCATTATAAAATCCTGTCATAAAGCAGACTCACGTTGCATTACTGAATCCAACATATTCATTACCAGCCATCTTATTCAAAAACTGCATCACCTATAAACCAAAAGTTAAAAATATCAGTATCAAAAAACAAACATATAAAGAATGTAGCATGAAAACTGAATTCTATTTTGTACTTACATAGTCAAATTTTTCAGCATTATTCACTCCTTGCTACAAAGAAATGAGACATGAAAACATTAGTGAAGGTACCACCACATTTAAGTTTTAAATGAATATAATATAAAAATTTCAAACTATCATAAAATTAATATACTATGCATTAGTACTTTTAAATCTAGAAAATGCTTCTAAAATAACCTAATGTTTACATAAATTATATACATGTTTTTTCAATACCCATATATTGAAAATTATCTGAGTTACAAAGGGAATGCTTTATTTTAAGTATAACTTTACCCAACCCAGTTACAGAATTTTAAATACAAGTTACTACAAATCCCATCTTTCATGACAACAGATAATCTGCTAGACAATGTTAATTTCATACTTTTAAAAGACTTAAAATAAAGTTTCACCCTTAGAGAAAAAGTAAGTATGGTTTTAAATTAAGAATAATCTACTTATATATTTAAAATAACCTTAAAACAATATATAAGAGTTAGAAAAATGAGTTATGTTGCAAAATTAATATTTTAATTCTAGTATATGCAAACATTCTAGATAGATTTTACGAGTGTAGAGAAAGCTCTACTTTTAATATCTCACTTGTTATATAATAAACACTGAACTAAAAAAACATATTTCAGAGTCTCTAAAAAATTAGCTACGTCTTTATTTAGCATTGTGCCAATTCAGAATATAGAAGATGTATTGTTTCATCGCTTCTATTTCTGACTTGTTAGCTACTGCGAATGTCAATAGGTAAAACCTATGTAATGTAGATCAGTTCAAGTAGCCAAACGGTTGCATTTTACCTCAGCGAAGTTTACAAAGCAGTAAGTTGTAGATCTGAAATCAAACGTATTAATTGGTGATGTGCACCCAAAAGAAACAATACATCTCTAAGTTTAAAACAGGTTCAAAATAAAATTTGACAACTACAATTTTAAAAATGAAAAATTTTAATTTTACCTTCAAAAAAATCCAAAACATTACAATTAAAATTTTATTATGGAAAACTGTATGATATGAGAGTATTATTTAATTGAATAAAGCCAGGTTCATTCTCCACTTTATAAGCAGATTAGAATGTGACTGACAATCTGTAGAATCCTAAAAATCTTTTTATTTAAGAAAGGATGTACAATTCACATATACAATCGGTAGCTAGAAAGAACACATTTATCCATCAAATTAGGTATCAACACTTAAAGATAATTTAAAGCCATATTGTAATCACTATGTCTTTTCTATAAAGCGTTCTTCTGACATATTTTAAGTTTTCTTTTCTTATAATACACCAGAAATTAAAAATGTAGAACTGTAACTTCAAAGCTGTTCAATGAAAAACAATTAAAAGAAATTACCAACTTCATTGAACTGTTGCAGTTGTCAATATATTCCATAGATCCTAATGCTGTAAAATATGTAACAACATTTAAACCACAAAAACCTTTTTAACCTTTGAAAAAGCATAAAAAATAAAAACCCAAAAAATCAAAGAACCACAACTCTTTTGGATGTCAGCATTTGCGTTGTGATGTCACATGAATAATTACTGGTTATACAATTAATCAATGTAAAACAAGTTATACTGAACCTTCATTCTCTCACCTAAACTATGCCCTATAAAATTAACACAAGTTTTCTTTATTTAGCTGTTGAGTTTAATAGAAGGAAAAAAAAAAAAGAAAAAAGAAAAACCGTTCCAATCCTAGCCTATGGCCACCTTGTTGTGGCTTACTAAAATCAAGTATGACTGACTGTTGTTTTTATGCTTTTTTAAAAAAAAGTTTGATATTTACCAATGACTATCATTATGAAAAATTTGAGTAAGCTACTTGAAATATTCTAGACAAATTATGTAAAAAATCAAAATAAAGTATTTGAATGATGGTGTTGACTCAAAAATCTTTCCAAAACTTCCCCATTTAAATGTAAAAGCACTTGATTAATGTTTATTCTTATTATCTATCCTGGAAATAACATTTAATGTAAATCAATAAATATATTTGCCCCTGTATCTCTTGGAAAGACTCCATGACCCAATCAATCATAAGATATCAGGTTATTTTTATTTTTGAAAAAGTTACTGTGTAAAATTTTATTTGTAAAGATATTAGAAAAAGTACATACAAGATAGAGTAAATACCTCCAAACAAATAAGCAAACGTGAACTTTAAAAAAGCCATCATTGTCATTAAGCAGTGCACCACCGTGGTGGAGGAACAGATGTGAAGATTAAAAATGGTCATAGGTGTACGGGGGAGGGGGAGAGGTTGGTTAAACTCCTCTGTTTATTTTGTGTTATGTTTGAAGATTCTCATTAAATATTAAAGGGGAAAAGTCTATTTGCGAATAATTTCTCATGTTAATTTACAAAATTCATCCTTGAGAATATTTTCTTTACCCTTAAAATAGTAATTGATTTTTAATGAACTCGGGTATCATGGATACTTTCTACTATTAGGACGAGTTTAATTCTCTAATTTTTACAGATGCACAAGTTGAGAAGTATCACTGACAACAGACGAGTAGGTAGAATTAGGAAAGGTTTTAAAGCAACATCACAGTATATTATACATCTATCTCATCACATACAAAAGTCAGTAATCCTCAAAAATTATGCGTATTGCTGCTACAGAAACTAAGATCCTCTTTCTATTTTGCTGAAACCAAAGAAGTAGAAACAACCTGGTATTACAAGAGGACCTGCTCCGTCACTACAGGGTTCACACCCTCACTGCCACTGAGTCCATTCTATCAGATGTCCTCTTTTGTTGGTGCCCAATAGGTTTTCAGAACCTGAGCAGTGCACCATAGTAACATTTGGGACACATGAGAAGTATACCTTTCTTTCGGAAAATGGGAGGAAAACTGGGTTAAAGGCAGATTAACTTCTACAAAAGCTATATGAAAACTGAGATTTGAAAATTGATCATCTAAAGTTTTTAATACCCCTTTTACTCTTGGGGGAAGAAACCCTAAGACCAGGAATATGTTTATTCCAGTTTTAAATCACTGCATCATTATTAGATATCGTGTTATTTTGTAAGGCACCACTGCACTTGGACCAGCCTATATTGTGTTATTTTAATCTTGAAAAGTTACATTAAGTATAGCAGGAAAAATTAAAAAAACAAAACAAAAAAACTAGACAATATATTCACTAAATTTTTTAATCCACTGATCAAATGACTTTTTTTTTTTTAAATAAGTTTTTATTGATTTCAGAGGAAGGCAGAGGAAGAGAGAAACATCAATGAAGGGAGAAAATTGTGGATCGGCTGCCTTGTGCACATCCCACACTGGGGATTCAAGCCTGCAACCTGGGCATGTGCCCTGACCAAGAATTGAACCTGGGACCTGCAGGCCAACGCTCTATCCACTGAGCCAAACCAGCCAGGGCTGACCAAATGACTTTTAAAAAGCAAACCAAGTGGGAGATTAGAAAGTTATATATGTTTTTCTATAAACCTACCTATCAAAGATATTAAAGAATTTACATTCCTTTAAAAAAAATTTTATGAATGAAAATTTGATCAAGAGGCAGTGAGTTTTAACACTGGCTGATAAAATATAACTATTATTATTTAGAGTGTTTTTACAGCCTGTTTTTACAACATACTCATGAATTGAATCATGTATTATACAATTTAACAGGTGAAAATATCACTGATAACAGGAATAAATTTAATATAAAAATGACATTCAAAGTCACTGCATTAATCCATTCTTTTGTATGTAAATAACTTGATTCCGTCCATAAAATACAAAGATATAAAAGCCATCTGACAATTATATATCTTAGAGAAAAGAAGCCTAGAAAAAGGCAAAAAAACAAAGTAACTGAAATTTTATAAAATACTCTCAATTTTAAGCTTGCCATAAAGAATGCTTTAAAGGCTAAATACCTGGAGCATTTTAACGGGTGTTACAGATAAAAAATAATGTTCTAAAACCATTTTTTTCATAGATTAAAAAACATAGTTTGAAGGACATTAAAGAGCTAAAAAAGAGAATCACATCTAGTAGCCATGATAAAATACCCAAACTCTGGATGCTCTTTGAGCAAAGGTCTAGCTCTACAGACAGTGAGCACCAACTGCTGTCTCAAGAATGATTATGCACTGAAAATTAGACGTGCTTTTAAGCTAATAAATCTGCTTAAAAATAAAGCAACAAAAAAGTGAATTCTTTGGCAAATTATTTTTCATTTAAAAGAAACCTTGAATACACCAACTGATATAACATGAAGTAATAAACAAATACAACCCTTTCTTATGCATGTCGGCAAGCCAAAGGTATCATCTCCTGCGCCCCAGAACACAAACCACCTTACAAATGTGGCTTCCCAGCCAGCCTGATAGGTTATCTCGACATAAGCTTCACAACAGGCAGATTTCAATGGAGCATGAGTAACTTCTTTTAAGAGAAAGAAGGGAAACCAACTTCTGATTTTTAAATTAAAAAGTACTTCTGATTTTAAAAATCAGCTTCTTCAGATGACAAACACTGGAAACTACCACTAGAATTGAGAGACGTAAAAAAAGAAGATATGTAACTTTTAAAATAAAAAAGCTTAAGTGTGGCAATAATCTTGTAATACGTTATCCTTATTTTTGTACCCTAACATTCAAATTCAAGTTATTATTACTAGGCTTAACTTTACAACTGCAGGAAACTTTATCACTGGAAAGAAAAAAAATGACATAATAATACTATTATTCCACCCAGAATAACAGTGCTCCTTTCAAATTTACTTTTCCTCTTTTCTTTAAATCAAGTTATCACATCATCATCATCATCATCATCATCAAATAAAACAAACTACATAAAAAAGTATTCCTTTAAGTTTAGAAGCTAACATAGAAATAAAGAGAGAAGGTATAGTACCTTTATGTTTTGTTTATTATGTTCTTTTTCTGTACAAAATGACATTTTTTTTATGAAGGTATTTACCTATATAGCTTTGTTTAAAATGTTAAATATTGGCGGTTTCCTACAAGTTTAGTAGTTAAGAATTTATGCAACAGGTTCCTTCTGTCCAAATCCTCCTTTTTTCCACAATCTGCTAATCCTTTTGAACACTTGTTCTGCCTCTTGCCCCATTTCCTGAGGATCACCACCAATCCTACAAGGAAAAAATATCAATACTACAAAATTATGAAATAAAGAGTCTTACTAAAGACTCTACTTAATGTGTGTGTGTGTGTGTGTGTGTGTATGCGCGCGCTCGCGCACGTGTGTGTGTGTGAATGGAAGTTACATGAAGAGCCTATTTTAATAGCATCATAATACAATTTTGAATTTGAAGGGAAAAAAAAATAGCCTGAAGGTCATTAACTAAAAGAGCTAAAAGAAAATGATATCTAGTAGCCGTGATAAATACCCAAACTCTGGTGCTCCTTGAGCAAAAATCTAGCTTTACAACTGCTGTATCAAGAATGACTATGCACCACTGAAAATTAGATGTGCTTTTAAGCCAATAAATTTGTATCTTTTATATAAATAAAAATTCAGAAAATAAAATGTCTGCTTCTTGGACAACGTAACTGTGTAAGGTAAAGAAAAAAATGTAATTAAGAGCAATAGCAAAGAGAAAAATCAGGAGATTTAGCTCGAGCCCAATTCTGCTACAGTTAAACCTGTGCTATTTCCTCACTGCACATATGTAAGATAAGAGGGTGGGCTTGAAGAACCTTTTGGCTATGGTGTCATTACCCCAATTTCAATGACCAACTCATAAACATTACATGTAGAGATTACATACAAATAGTAAGTGTTTTTGAATTCTTTTTTTTAAGAGTTTAAGAATTATAAGCTTACCCCTAATATACCTCTAGACTTAGTCATTTAAAAACAACAACAAAAAAACCCCTTGTGAAATACTTTCTAAAAACCAATCAAAATAAAAATTCAAAGAAAGTGAACTTAAATATAAACCATCCCCTAACACTTCATTTTCCAGTGAACTTAAAACTTTTATAAACTTAAGGTCACTGATCAAATTTGCAAATACAAGATGACTCAGTTAAATTTTTGCTCTGTTGGACGCTGAACCACACTGTGTATGTGTTTTAACTCTGTTTCTAAGTGCTCACATTAATATGGCTTATTATAAAGTTTATGGCTTGTGAATGACCATGGTAAGTGAAACTAATGGAGTGACAGTATGGTATGACCACACATGATTTCCCACCTGCAGCCTTGCAGTGTGGTACGTTAAACCCAAGAGTCATGAAACCGAAGAAGAACGCTGTTAAGAAAGACACTTGCATATGCCCTTGCTTGTGCTATTGCTGTGCCATGTGAATCTTTCCCAAGGGTAAGAGCTCTTACACTAGGGTCCATGGATCAGCTTCAAGGATCTGTGAATTCCCCAAAAAGTTACTAAAATCAGGGCACGTGAACATTTTTTTCTGGGAAGAGTCACAAAAGGTTCAGAACCATTCTAGTTTTTCATTAAGCATTATTAACACAATGTATTATTAAAAATTTGCTCACCTTTAATTCAAGTTACTTATTCAAATCTAACAATTATTAATGAGACTTTCTCTCATTGTAGTACTGATTGCACTGCATGGCAAGGGCCCATTTGTGTCTATTCCACACTATAATGCAAGCCACCTGAAGGCAGGGATGTGCCTAGCATATATTCATATTATAATTTTCTACAATAAACAACTAGTTTCTTTTCACCTCAAACTGACAACTATTCTCTTATGCAAAGTAGTCATAAATAACTAGATGCTATAAGGGACAAAATGAAAATTTCCATAACTTTCTGAATTAGTTACATTAAAAATTAACATTTGTCTATGTTATCTACCTCACTAGAATTACAAGGATTAAGTGCGTCAATAGTTTTAAAGCATTTGCCCTAAAATTGCAGCTAAACGTACATATTCTTAAGATTAGTCTTCTAATGTAAAGGCCTCTTCTCATAAGCATATAGAATTTATGAAAAAGAGGACTTCTAGCATACAAAGCAGATGAATTCTATTAATTGGGCCAAGAGTATAATTGATATTCAAACATTCTTTGTCTAACCAAGATAGTCCATCCTTAGTCACACACCTACAAAGCCATACATTTACTTTTTCAAGCTTGGATCACACAGGCACAGATTTACTAAGACAGCACATAAATGTTGCAAACACAAATGAAATTTGAATATAAGTAAAAATTTATAAAATTATAATCTAAACAATATCACACAACATAACTATTTTCATCCATTGAGCCAAACCGGTTTCGGCACAACGTAACTATTTTCAAATACTAATTTCGAACATTACATTAGAGCTTCCAATTATTAAGGCAAACCAGACACTAAAAATTTTTTTTTAAATTAAAACATATAATGCAAACCAAAGCATAAAAATAATGTAACTTAATAATTGGAATAAGTCTTAATTATTGAAGTAAACCAAATAAAACAAGTTCAAATGAAAATCATAATTAGAGTTCATGAAAATGTAAAAGACTTGAGAATATTCAAGGGTAAATGTACTTTGCCTTAACACAAAGTAACAGAACAGTTGTTCCTATAGATGTTGATGACAAACATTAAACAATAAAATGTTTTTAACTCTGTTAATTTTAAGAGCCAAAAGGAACAGAAAGAGAAAAATAACAAAACTTTAAGAAGAAAAATTTGTGCCTATTGTTCAGCAGAGACTTTTTGAATTTTTGCCAGATCTTCAGGTCAAGAATAACTGTTGAAATTTACAATGAGTCATCTGTTTTGAAATTATATGGTTTATTTTTACATTAATAGATATCCTAATTTTTTACCAAAAGATTAATTTAATATCAAAAGAAAACTTCATATAGTCCTAAAATAATCCAAAATTCACATTATGCTTTAGTTATTTAAAAAATGTATTAGGTAAAAAGAAAATGTCAACATTTTACCTTTATTAATGAAGTCACAACAATTGCTCCAGCATTTACCATAGGATTATGTGGCTTATCTGTAACACATAAAAACAACAGCATATTTCAAATATCTGATACCATTTTCTGTGATGCATAGGTTTTTCCCGTGAACATATATTTCTTTGGGGGGACAGTGGGGAGTGTGGAGGAATGCACTTAAAATCACTTACTTATCAAACTAGTAATGCACCTCTAGGAAGCTGCTATCCTAGGAGGATGCAAACCAACTGAACTGTGGAATGATCAGTTGCTATGACATGCACTGACCATCAGGGGGCAGACGCTTAATACAGGAGCTGCCCCCTGGTGGTCAGTGCATTCCCACAGGGGTAAGGCCACTGGGCCAAAAGCCCTAAGTTGGGCTCACAGCTGGCAAGCACAGCAGCAGTGGCAGGAGCCTGTCCAGCCTCCTGGATTGCAAGAGGGCGCTGGCTGGGCTGAGGGACCCTCCGCCCCTGAGTGCACGAATTTTGCTCACTGGGCCTCTAGTAATAATTATATATGTGAACAAAAATTCATGTACAGAAGGCAGTGATTAGTGGTGTTAAGAGCGCATCCAAATATCCTAATTCTGCCATTTATTAGCTATTTGACTTTGGACAACTGACTGATCTTCATTGTGCATCAGTTTTCCCATCTGTAAACTAAGATAACAATAGCACCAGCACCCCAGCAAGTCAAAATGCTTCAATAGAGGACTCTGGTCAAGATAGAAGAATAGCCGGGACCGGTTTGGCTCAGTGGTAGAGCGTCGGCCTGTGGATTGAAAGGTCCCGGGTTCAATTCCAGTCAAGGGCATGTACCTTGGTTGCGGGCACATCCCCAGTAGGGGGTGTGCAAGAGGCAGCTGATCGATGATTCTCTCTCATCGATGTTTCTAACTCTCTATCCCTCTCTCTTCCTTTCTGTGAAAAATCAATAAACTATATTAAAAAAAAAAAAAAAGATAGAAGAATAGGTAAAGGTGGTACTGGCATCCTCCAAAGATCACATCACAACTGAAACCAAACTACGGTACAGCCATAATTGAGAACAGCATGAGCTCATACTGACCAGAAGTCCTACAGTTAAAGATATAAAGAAGCCAAATGGAGATTGGTAGGAGGGACAGAGACTTGAACAGGCTTGTCTCACACCCACGTGTGTAGGTTAGAAATTAGGAGGGAAACTTGCAGCTCAGAGGCCCTCTGAAAATTGAGGGGTCCCAGACCCATACCAAGCACCCCAGCCCTGGGTTCCATTAACTATAATCCCTGCTTATAATTAAGATGGAGGGCTGAAACCGGTTTGGCTCAGTGATAGAGCGTCTGTCTGCAGACTGAAAGGTCCTGGGTTCGATTCCAGTCAAGGGCATGTACCTTGGTTGCAGGCACATCCCTGGTGGGTGGTATGCAAGAGGCAGCTGGTCGATGTTTCTCTCTCATCACGTTTCTGGCTCTCTGTCTCTCTCCCTTCCTCTCTTGTAAAAAATCAATAAAATATATTAAAAAAAAAAAAAAAAAAGAAAAGATGGAGGGCTGCTCAAGTCCCAGGCTCTCTGCTAAAGGGCTGCATGTGGACTTATTTGGGCTCACTCCCTGAGCCCCAGGGCAGGGGCAGCAGCTCAAAAGGCACCAGGGACACACATACAGGGAGGAACTGAGATGTCTGGCTTGGAGCAAGGGCGAGAGGGGCAGCTTTCTCACAGACACAAGCGTTGGCAGAGGCCATGCTTTCACCGCTGAGCCCTTCTGCTGCAGTGCAGGGAGGCACCATAACCGAGTCCCGTCAATCTGACAATCACTGTGCACAACCCCCCCCCCCCAACCTCCTCCCCACCCTGGTGATTCTGAGGCCCCATGCAGGTACAGAAGGCACCCGATCAATTTTTCTCTTTCTCCCTGCCTCTCTAGACAAATCAATCAAATCAACTTCTTCCCATATTAAATCCTTTTTCCCAGATTAAAACTTGATTTCAGTGAATTTAATAAAGTACTTCTGCATGTACTGTCCTTACTGAAGTTACGAGTTTATGGTAATCTCCATAAAGTCAAATGTAGCTTCAGGTTAGAAAGATTATGATAAAAGAATAAAATGCAATCATTCTCAAATAGGGAAAGAAACCTGAGAAAATACCCTCTAACTTCACTAAAAAAATAAACAAAACAATGACTATAAATCACATTTCATTTTTATCCAAAATAAAGAAAAAATACCAAAGTATTTTTCCAAACCATTACCGCAACTACCGAATTCCCTCACTCTCACTTTTTTTAGTTATCTTAAATTACATAATGAGGAACCTAGTATGTGCTTGAAAGATTGAAAGATAGAAACAAATCTATAGGTTTATATGTAGATTTAAAACACCAACTGCTAAGTGATCAAAAGTACTATCTTTGTTTTCCCTTTTCTTTTGGATCCCTACAAAGTAATAAGGCTTGTTAGTTGTCTATTTAACGTAAAAAGTTTTTTTCAAATATTATATGTTACAAAACAGAAAAAGCAACAACACTATCTCAATCAGGGCCACCACTTAAATCTAATATATCCTATCCTATCCTATCCTATAGAATAAAAGGCTAATATGCAAACAGAGTGAATTGCAAACAACTGAACAATCGGTTACTATGACATGTGCTGACCACCAGGGGGTGGGCGTGGAACATGGTGGGCATCGGCCACAGCAGGATGGTGGAGGTGAGTGGGGGCACCAGCCCAAGGTGGCACAGGTTGCTGTCATTGGGTGGAGCCTCTGGTGGTTACTAAAAATTCTTCCCTCCCGTGCACCTTGGGGCTCACACCTGCTGATGTCTTCTCTACCTCCCCCTGGCTCCTAAGGAGCGATGGGGGCAGCAGCCACCACTTGCACCGGCTGACAGTACCAGCTCTGTGCCAGCAGCGGGTGCAAGTGGGCCGAGCACTGTTAGCCCATGGGAGCGGCAGCAGGAGTGGGGCTACCAGCAGACAGGGAACCAGGGGGCCAGGACTGGGAGGCATGGGAGGATGGGCCGATACCTGCCCCTGTGCCTACTGCAGCCTCGCAATGCTCAGTTCCTTTCAGGGTGAATGAATTCATGCACTGGGCCCCTAGTACAACATACAAAAGCAGAAATATACAATAGACACCCATGTATATCTATCCGTTAGCTTCAATAATTACCAACATACACTAACAGTCACACCTAGCACTCTCAGCTGCACTCCATGAATTCTGATAACAAATCCCAGAAAGCATGAGATTTTACTATAAAGCTATTCCCCTATGCAATTATAAAGTAAAAATCTTACCCTGCTCCCACCCCATCTTATCCTTATTCCACTTTCCAGTGATATGAGATGCCTAAAAAAACCATTTAAAAAAATAGGTGATTAAAACATTCCACTGGTTCATAGTTCTATGAAAAATGAAATTATGAATGCTTTTACTTTTCCCCTCCAAAAAATGACCCTCTTAGGTTTACATAGTAAAGGTATCTTTTTTCCTGACCAACTTTTATATAATTCTTACCATCTTCATTTAAAAACAGTTTGTTGAATCTTAATCCACTTGGCTCTTTCCCAACATATCGATGCACATATTCTGTTCCAAGGTCATTAACTGCAATGGCATATTTCAAAGGTTTTACACAGGACTGAAGACAAAATGGAACTTTGGTATCGCCAATAGAATGCCTATTTAAAAAAAGATTAAATAATAATTAGGATAGACTGGAATCACTAGTGTTATTTTTACATGTTAATGCTACTTTGCAATGGTTTCCCCATAATTCAACCACAAGTTTAGATAGTAAAAAAATAATTGGATGTTTAAGAAGAACAATGCAAATAAAGCCAAACCTTAAAAGTATTAGGGTAGCCAAAACCAGTTTGGCTCAGTGGATAGCGTCAGCCTGCGGACTCAAGGGTCCCAAGGGTTCGATTCTGGTCAAGGGCATGTACCTTGGTTGTGGGCACATCCCTAGTGGGGGGTGCGCAAGGGGCAGCTGATTGATGTTTCCCTCTCATCGATGTTTCTAACTCTATCCCTCTCTCTTCCTCTCTGTAAAAAAATCAATAAAACATATTTTAAAAAAAAAAAGTACTAGGGTAATAAAATAATTCCAAATTAGACAATTTAATAATGTAAAAATTTTCCTAAGGGCAAGCAGGTATGGCCCTCCTGTATTCAATCATATAAAATCACTTAGCCCTTTTAAAAATTAGTCACTTGTTTTTTTATTCATAGCCTAAATAATGGCTATACCATGGTTAATCTTTAAGTGGAGCACAATTTAGATTCAATACCATTCTCTGAGACCCTATCAATAAATGCTTCATCTTCTTAACCATATCTACTTTCAATTCCAGCACCATTAAATATGGTATCCAGTATAGCTAGCACTAACAGTAATCATTTATCACCATGTAGATAATAACAGAACAAAAAAGCTTCTTATATTACCAAATTGGGATGCACATGAAGTAGAGAAATCCTCACTGATGACATTATAACATAAGCTTAAGAACAGAGAGATATTGCATTATATTTGACCAGAGATCTTGTGCACAAATTTGTACACGGGTCGTGTCCCTAGGCCTGGCTGGGGATCAGGGCTTACAGGGGCCAGCTGGCCGGGGATGGGGGGGGACCACAGGAGATTGGCCATGAGAGAACACTGAATTACCAGGGGGCAGCTCCTACATTGAGCATCTGCCTCCTGTTGGTCAGTGTGCAACATAGCAAACAGTCATAATGGTCCCTTAGGCTTTTACATATTTAGATTCCGGTTCAAGGGTACATACCATGGTTGCAGGCTCATGAGCAGAAGGCAACCAATGGGTGTGTGTGTGTGCCTCTCTCTCTCCTCTTGCCTTCCACTCACTCTCTCTCAAAAAAAAAAAAAAAAAAAAAAAAAAAAGAAAGAAAAATCAATGGAAAAAATATCCTTGAGAAAAAAAATAAAATAAAAACAGTCCAAAGTCATCTTTAAAATTCTCTAGATAAGAAAACTAAACTAAAAGAATCACCTCTACACACAATGTTTAAGAGAAAAGCCATGTGCAAGCATTACATAGTAATGCTTCTCTAAACATAAACGTTTCTATTACATGATAAACCATTTCCTTACTGCCTACTGGAATGTGCTCCATTAGGATAAAGCCACATTTTCTCCTTGATTTGTGTCCTTTCATGGCATTTTAGTCCATTTTACAGGCCCAGATGAGGATAAAATGTTAATAGACTAGATTAATATTTAGTCAAATGCACTATAAGAGACCTAGGTGCTAATTTCAACTCTTCTAGCATTATATGATCTCTGGGCTTGAGATTCCTTACCTCAAAAATGAATAAACTAAACTATGCTTTTTTACTATAAATTGTTGAGGAAAATAAGAATGAAAAGATTAGAATAAAGGCACTTCAAATCAGAATTTAACAATGGGGAAGGGAAGCTTTAATTGGACATTTTCTTCAGAAATAAACTTAAAATTACAAGGCTAAATGACCCGTTTTCACAAAATCTAGGATAAATTACATCTATGCTATAAAGTTTTATACACATAGGTGTTGCAAACCTTATTTTATTTTAATTTAAAAAAGAATTATCTTGGGTGATACCTCTGAGTCCTCAAAGGAAGAAACAAATTTTTCTTTTTAACTGACAAAAATCAAATTACAACAAAATACTAAATCTTGCCCAAACCGGTTTGGCTCAATGGATAGAGCGTCAGACTGCGGACTGAAGGTCCCAGGTTCGATTCCGGTCAAGGGCTTGTACCTTGGTTGCGGGCACATCCCCAGTGGGGGGTGTGCAAGAGGCAGCTGATCGATGATTCTCTCTCATCGATGTTTCTAACTCTCTATCCCTCTCTCTTCCTCTCTGTAAAAAAAATCAATAAAAAATATATTTAAAAAAAAAAACAAAACTAAATCTTTATGTCTGATTCACAGCACAATAAAAAAAAAATCATTCTTAAAAAATATTGCTAACTTTATCCATTTTTCCAAAGGCCTCTCCTTAATTCATTGTTTTTTTTAAATCAAATCATTCTCACATCATTAACCTTTCTATAATTCTGCTAGAATCCTTATTTGTCAGTGGCTGTGCCTGTAGTGTGAACATTTCCCAAAGACAACTTTAATAAACGTCATAAAATCCTCCATGTTTTGCAAATTACTTCATACTTTACAAATGACTGGTGGTTTTCATGGATTTGAAGAAACTTACCTCTGTCCATCTACTGTACAAACGGATACACCCCACAAATCAGGACTGAACTTGGCTAGTTGAGGAATATAGTCTGCAACCTAATCAAAATATTAGAAATTAACAGATATAATACAAGAAAATAATACTTTAATCTACCAAAAATTTCATCTCAATTTACTTTCCACCAATGAATACTTATTTTATAGCACTTAGTGGCTTTGTAGTTTTTTATAAATAATATTCAAAATAACTAAGGGCACAATAGCTTTGAGAATTAAGGTAAGATCTACATGATTTCTCTGTCTCCACCATCCTTTCTGCTTTCCCAAGTACTCTCTCTTCTTAAGAAAGCAGAGTCTAAAAGAGGAATTAGAATTTGAGTATGTTTTAGTAAGAAAAAGAAATAGAGAATTTCTTTAATCAGGGTCATACCAGTAGTTTCATTGTCTAAAATCTTTCAATATGAAGAAATAAATTAGTAACTCTTAGTATTATTTAGAGGATTTTTAAAATTAAAAATATTTAATGTTTGAGAATATCATATCTGCAGAAATTCCCAGTAAAGTTGCTTTTTATTAAAGATTTAAAAGCCATCTCAATCATTTGAAAATCAAGAATTTATAAACTTAGATTGTTAGTTAAAATAACAAGCTCAAATATTTAAAATGTTAAAATACTTTACCCAATGGCTTCATTTAACTTAAATTTCTTAATTAGCAAAACACAAGAAAACTAACAACTTGACTCTCTATACCTCAAGTTGAGTTGAATTTATTAAGTGATTGGTTTAGGAAAATATTCACATTAAAATGTTACCTTTCCTCCAGACTGCTTTTTAGCGCTTTCATATAACTCATCAATGTGAGAAGTGAAAGACATAAAGTCGGGAATGACAAACTTTCTTCTAAAGGCTTGCGTTAATAAAACAATGTTGCTTTGAACACATCTGTGGAATGTGAGAAAAAATAAGTTGATTGAATGCCCTTCACAAAGGAGTACTTGGTAATAACAGTATTAGGAGAATATTTAAACAATAAATTAATTTTATACAACAAACTAAATTCTAGAAATTATATTCTTTCTACAGCTTCTTTCCTTTAAGCAACCTTTCATGGGAGTTGCTTATAAGCTGTTGAACAAGATAACAAAATAAATTAGACTGCCCCAAAAAATTATATCAAAGATTAAAATAACAGAACATTCTATCCGGTTAAATATCAAGACCACCTAAAACAAGTTTTTAGCCCTGGCCAGTGTGGCTTAGTTGGTTGGGCATTATCCCAGGCCCTGGTTACAGGCTCAATCCCTGGTAAGGGACATGCAGCAGCCAGCCAATTGATGTTTCGCTCTCACATTCATCTCTCTCTAAAAATAAATGAAACTATTTTAAACATGAATTTAGTTAACAAAAATTAGACTTTAATCTCTTAATTCCTATAAAACTTTACTAGTATTTCCAAAAAGCTGAAGTTTGTATTTTAACATATTTTTCCTGAATTACATTTTGAAAATTTTGCATTTCTATCATTAAAAATGTAAATAAAATCAACTTTGTTTAGTCAGATTAATGTCTCTTAAATAGCATTAAAATACTTATAAAATAAATGAATTTTAAATAAAATTACATATATAATGTAATATAATTCGATTTATATTATTTGACTCACTAAAATAATTACATTATTATACTCACTTTTAACAATAAAAATTCAGAATATATATTCACTTGATCAACAAAATTAAAGATATAAAACAAAATAGGATTGCAGTGATGATATGCCCCAATCAGAACATAAAAAATTAACAGTCCTATTTTCCATTATTAACCTATATATGTAGAAATAATTGCTACTCCAGAGATAACGAGTATTATTTCGGTAAATTTTGATAAATTTTTTTTATACCATCATGTTATTCTAAAAATATTAAATTTTGGCTGAAACCGGTTTGGCTCAGTGGATAGAGCGTCAGCCTGCGGATAGAAAGGTCCCAGGTTTGATTCTGGTCAAGGCACATCCCCAGTAGGGGGGGTGCAAGAGGCAGATGATGGATGATTCTCTCTCATCGATGTTTCTAACTCTCTATCCCTCTCTGTAAAAAAATATTTAAAAAATAAAAAATAAAAATATTAAATTTTGGCACCATTTGTAACAACCAATATATTTCAAATAGCAATTCAATTTGTACATGAAGAGTTGCAAGAAATATACTGAGTACAATACTCTGCAGAAAAGTTAAGACAATTCCTGATCTTGAATCGCTGAAGCTGCATCAAAACAAATACACATCCTTATTTTTAAGAAATTATACATGAGAAAATAAAAACTGCCAAACAAATTTAAATTATTAACCTACTATCAACTATTTTAACTATTTAAAATTTTCAGCACTTTTAAAAGGAGGCTTTATAATTAACAAAACTGTGTAGTCAGTAAAGTAGGTTTTCTTTTTCTTTTTTCTTTATAAGAAAGTGCTGGTAAAGCAATAGTGACAGCCTTAACTAGTGAATTATGTGACCAACAGAAGCAATTTTAAACTCAGAAGTGTGCCTAATTGCATAAGAATGAACATTCCAAAGAGCAAATATTTTCTTGGGAGTTATTTTAATATAAATGGAATGAATCTATAATTAGAAGTTATTTAAAATGAACTATGAGGAGAAGTCCTTATGCAGGTCAGCAGGTCACATCTTTCTCATGCTTTGTTCAGTTTTCTCATCTGCAAACTGGGAATAATAATCACTTTCCCCCCCCCCTTAAGTGTTTATTAACAACAACTGTAATGTATGTCAATATTTTATAAAAGTAAAATAACCATGAATTTTCTAAAGAAAATTAAAACATTTTACAAATGCAAAAATTCATTCCCTCCCAAAAAGAGAATAGACCAAAAAATTATTACACACAAAATTAATTCTAATACTTATATGGTTAAAAATGCATGAATATGGCATTCATTTTCAACATAAATTGGGTTACTGGCATTAAAAAGAATTGACTAACAGACAGTCTCCAACTTTCAAATAGACTATACTCCAAACAATATGCTCAGAACTAACTTTCCCATTAAAAAAAAAAAGCCTGCCAGTACGACTCAGTGATTGAGCATTGTCCTATAATCAGGAGATCACGGTTAGATTCCCAGTCAGGGCACATGCCTGGGTTTCAGGCTTAATCCCCAGTGTGGAGTGTACAGGAGGCAGCAGTTTGATGTCTCTCTTATCATTGATGTTTCTCTCTTCCTCTTCATTCTTCTCTGAAATCATTTTTTTTTTAAGTCATGCATAATAGGTGTTTCTCAGATTATCCTCAAAGGCTAAATATGTTAACCAAAAATGTATTTTCATCAAAATTATTGACTTCAATAAAATCTTTATAAATTATTTTCTGGGGAAATGAGTTCCACTATACCATCTCATTCCCACCTGCATGGAGGTGAAATCGTTTTGTTTCTGGCAACACTAACTAGAAAACTTATTTTGAAAAGGTTAATTTTCAGCAGTTTAAAATCAACTCATTCTAGGGCTGGAAAGAACAACCCTTATGCCTACAGACTTAAGGCTTTTCTGCCTGCTTACAAACTATTGATAGTATACATTTGTCCTATTGGGAACTGCCTATATCACAATAACCAATTTTGTTAAATTGTTAGATTAGTGTTTAAAATAATGGTGGTTGTTTTCTATGTAATTATGGGCAGAAAAATTTAATTATGTTCCCTGGACTTATAATCAATGTACTTAAATTACTTTTAATTTCAGATTAAATCATAGCAACATGTTTACTGAGCACAAAAAAACTTTAAACAGTACTAAACAAGTGTAAAATGCTGCTTTCACTTAAAATTTCAAAGCAAATCCTCATTGCTATTATCAAAAGGTCTACCTACCATCTCTCTGACAACTTCATTCTCAGATATGCCAGAGTAACTACAAAGGTGAGAGCTCATAAACACTAAAAACAAAATAGTCTTCACTGCAAAGGTATAGCTAATAGAAATTACCTCCTTCTCGCCACAAAGAAGCAGATTTTGAAGACTCAAAATTCCTAATACCAATTCCAAATGGAATTAAAGTTTATACTTTATTCGGTCAACTGAATTAACAGAATCATGAACCTTGTGGTGAAAAGATAGTCCCAAACTGTCAGCAATGCTTTACAGCAAGCCAGAAAACTGTGTAGGATCTCAGTTAAAAATCCTTACACCTGTAGAAAACTTAGAACTCCAGGATATTCCCAGGAGATATCTAGAATAAATCATCCAATCCCCATAAAATAAAAGATAAATACATATAGACAAATAAATTTTCAAAGTCGATACTGGAATTCTTTGGGATTTTAACCTAATCCTATGGTCTGAAAAAAAGCCAATGTCTAACTGTAGTGTGGACAAGTTTATACTGCTTTCCACGTTATTAGTAGTTTAAAATACCATTACACCATGCTGTTCATTAAATCATTATAAGTAACCAGACTAGTAGGGACACATTAATGATGATAAATAATACATAGGCATATATAGGGAAGCAAAAAATGTGCTTAATCTACCCAATGGAAGCATTAATCTCCAAAGTCATCTTTAGTTTTTAAATATTTGAGGAAAATGAAAATAGTCAAAAGCCTATGTATTAATACAACTAAAGAGAGGAGAAAAACAGACAAAGAAGAACTGTAGGCCTTAGGAATCCCGGCTGTCTGAAGCCTTCTCCTTTTATGATGTCCTCTAAGTCACCTTGTGAGAAGGAAGCGGAGCCCATGCTGAGACAGTGGAGATCAATGTAAGCCACGGCAGGACCAAGAGGAGGCTCTATGTCAAGTGAATGTAATCCCCAGGTACTTTCCATTGGAAGTATCCAAGGCTACATTTCTCTAGAGCAGTTTCACAGAAAAGTATACAATAGCCCCAATGTATTAGGAAACCTTCATGTGTCCCAAGATTTTCAAACAATTGATGTTTATAAATCCCCACCTCCACCCCCACCCCCGTTTGTTTCAATTACACAGGAAGCACTGACTTTAAACGAAGCAATTTTGTTATAAAATAAAAATCACCATATAGCATAGCAATCACCATTAAATGTTTGGCAGAAATTTTTACTTTTTAAAAAGATCTTTGTCTAGCATGACACCATCTGATGTTGTTTGAAGAGTTAATCTTAACATATCCATACATTCTTTCAACCTGGGATCAGATGTTCGCAATCCTGTAGATTTGAGTGCCTGTTTTTAAAAAAATAAAGAGTTTGTAAATATATAGTGCAAATAATGTATATGCTTTTTCAACTACAAGTTTTTATTCCTGTATATAAAACACTTCTACCCAGGACCTAAATATATAGTATACGGAATTTTAGTGTCACTATTACACACTTTGTGGATAAGTTTCTCATTCTTTTTCTTTCCCTGATTAACCTTGAAATGAGCATAATGAAAATTTGAAAACAAGAGAAATAGTGTCAGTCAGAATCTACATGTCAAATAACCTTTAAGACTACATTTCAATATTTCTGTATTGATTCAGTACTGCTGATTTTTAACAAGTTTTAGAGAAGTATAAAAACTTACTGTAATAAATTTATGAACAGGTATTTTCTCTTGTCCTTCTGCAATTGTATAGAACAGCAAGTCTTCCAAGCTAGGTAACAGACCCTGTTTTATTTTACTAAAGGGGAAAAAGAGAAGAGAAAATTAATCCTCATGTGAACATTCTAAAGGATTTTAGCTATATCCATTATTAAATATTCATTGAACCAGGCTGAACTGACCTACTCATCAAGACAACTTTAAGTGCCGATTTATCAAAATTAAACCAGTATTACTGAAACCACACTGAAAAACAATGATTCATTCTTAAATACAGATATTTTTTAATCCCAGGTTTTAAAATATTGATGACCATTCTTAGTTGTGCTAATGCCTAGCCATCTGTTATGGTGTACCTTCCTGCACAATATTAATTACAGAGCTCAGCGAATGTTCGGGCAAGTTGTCAAAATGCTGCTCTTTAAAAAAAAAAAAAAAAATTATGACTTTACATATCTATAACAAAAGCATAATATGCTAATTAGACGGGTCGTTCTTCTGGACAACCTTCCAGAGGAAGCTGGGGCTGCAGTGAAGTCCAGGTCCTGGGTGCCAGAGGGAAGCTGGTGCTGGCAGCCAGAGGAAGGCAGGCCTACTCTTGCATGAATTTTGTGCATCAGGCATCTAGTTATTCAAATATTTAACCTGATTGTAAAATCTAAGGGAAAGAGAAATTATGTATTGGATAGGAAAGATGAGCACAAAAGTTCTTGAATCCTGGCTATATTACTTAAACTGAGTTACCTCTCTGTGATTCTGATTCCTCATCTGAGAAAAGGAGATCTCAGAGTTATTGTTGTTAACTCATACATTCAATATCTTTAGAACACTGTTGGTCAGAGGTAAGTACTCAACTGATGGTAGTAGTTACAGTTACTAGTTCTAAAGTGTTCTAGGCTTACATATCAGACCAAAAGCCACAAATCATAAAGACTGTAAGAATAAAAATTTTACCAAAAATATACATTAAAATCTTAATTAATTAATTAGTTAATATAATAAGATGCTATGATTAATCAAACTTTTAAACAAGAAAGGAGTTTTTCCTAATCATTGAAAAGCTTTCAAGTAGGCCTTGGTCAGGTAGCTCAGTTGATTAGAACCTTGTCCTTATACACCAGGGTTGAGGGTTTGATCCCAGTCAGGAACTACTATACAAGAAGCAACCAATTAGTGCATCAATAAGTGGAACAAGTTGTTTTCTCTGTGTTCCTCCCTCTCTCTCAAATCAATAATAAAGTTAAAAAAGAAAAAGAAAAGCAAATTTCAAGTAAATAAACTACAACGAACCTATAAATATCTTTTTTGGGGAGCACCCAAACGAAAAACAACGTTTCATTATTCTGTCCCAACAATTCTATCATAAGCATTATAGTGATGTTATAAGGATTACAGATCTAAGACAGATTAAGCCGTTCCCCACCCATCACTATTTAACAAAATGGGGGTAAAATATATACATTTGTGTAGATACTTATATGTGTGTATATGTGAAATATTCTGGAAAAGACTTTAACCTGTATTTCAAGAAAGCAAGAGAGAAAATTAGAAAGGAAGGAGGGAGCCGGGACCGGTTTGGCTCAGTGGATAGAGGGTTGGCCTGCGGACTGAAAGGTCCCAGGTTCGATTCCGGTCAAGGGCATGTACCTTGGTTGTGGGCACATCCCCAGTAGGGGGTGTGTAAGAGGCAGTTGATCGATGATTCTCTCTCATCGATGTTTCTAACTCTCTATCCCTCTCTCTTCCTCTCTGTGAAAAATCAATAAAATATATTAAAAAAAAAAAAAAAAAAAAGGAAGGAGGGAATACTTCTTTCCTTAAATTCAAACCTTAACATTAAGTCAGTTCAGGACTAGCCATTGGTATAATTATAGGTATAGGAAAATCCTATAATTATATTTGTAAAATAAACTATCACACGGCATAAGGATGTTTAAAAATTGTGTTTTTATACTGTTAAAAGGAGCTTTTCGTCCTGATTGCTATGGCTCAGTTGGCTAAGCATTATTCCAGAGCACATGCCCAGGTTATGGGCTCCATCCTCCTGTAGGGGGCATATTAAGGCAGCTGATTGATAGTTCTCTCTCATGGATGTTTCTCACCCTCTAAAACCAATAAAAACATATTTTAAAAAAAAGAAGAAAAGAAAAGCTTTCCAGGTGTCCAAATATGTTTTCAATACTTTAATACGACTGACCACATGTATTTAGTTATTACTGAACATAATTTCTTCCTTATTATTAGTGATCCATATATTTCTATCTTAAAAAAACAATAGAATATGGAGTTGGTCCACAAAGCATATACATTTATACATGCAATTATAAAGTTTTTCCTAAAATGTTAAAGTTGATTTTAATTTATAGGTGTGTTCAAAGATGTTACAACTTTTAGTTTTTCAAGTCAACCTTAAAATATACGAATTTCATGCCAACGTTTAAAAACAAACTAACACATACTCTAATTTAATGACATATCCTGGATATATAATTATTCCCTGAAACAATTTTGGCTCTTAAAACTTTTAAAAATGTATTTGCGATATTTTAAAAATAAGAGCTAACATTTACCAATCACTTTGTGTTATAAATTCTCAAAGCATGCATTCTATCTAATGTAACGAATGCCTCCAACAATTTTATGACAGCAGGTACTATTATTACCCAAAATACATTATGCTTCCAGGTACATAGAAGCTCAATAAATTATTTGTTAGAAGGGGAATAGCTCTATCCTCATTTCAGATGAGGAAATAGAGGCTCAGACATATGAAACTTCCCAAGACTGCAAAGTGGCAGACATGGGTTTCTCTTATTCCAAAACGTTAACCACTAGATATACTGACTACCAAACTTACTAGTTATTATTACTTATATAAAGTACAATGTTTCTTGGTCTTACCCTGATGTAAAACCATTCAAGTGTTCAACAATACTAAACTTAATTTTTAAAGGAAAATTGAGCTAGCTGTCAAAAAAGTCAGTGAAAAATAACACAGATTATTTACAGAAAATGATTTGTTAAATAAATGACAGTGGTAATTTAAAAAAAAACCTTGCAGAATAAACTTTCTATGTATTTATCACATCAGTAAATTGTTTTTTGCTTTCACTAAAAGCTACATAAAATAGAAATACACTTCTTTCCTAACCGGTTTGGCTCAGTGGATAGAGCATTGGCCTGTGAACTGAAGGGTCCCAAGTTTGATTCCAGTCAAGGGCATATACCTTGGTTGCAGGCACATCTCCAGGGGAGTATGCAGGAGGCAGCTGAACGATATTTCTCTCTCATTGATGTTTCTAACTCTCTGTCCCTCTCTGTAAAAAAGAAATCAATAAAATATACTTCTTACCTTATGGTACCATAGTGCAAAAAAATTAATGTGATCATGTTATTCCCTACCAAAAGAATTTTTACTTGCTTTTAAGGAAGAGACTAATTTTTATCCACAGGGGAGATTTAAATCATCTTTTAAAAATACCTCACAAAATAAATGGTCAAAATTAATTAAAAAAATAAAAATTAGTTTATGACACTCAGAAACTACAATAGGATGTACAGATTAATAAATCCAAAGAAAAATCCTGTTTCATACCTTTTCATTCCTTTCCTATTTTTCTCCCTCATTACCTATGTAGGCCTTTAAAAGCTCAGAGCTTGATCAGAGACTGTTAGTTTCAACAATCTAGTGAACAAATCAATGTACATATTCTCACCAAACTTTCAACCAGGTAGAAATTACTACAAATACCTTTCCTGTCCCTTTTTTCTTCCTAAATTGAACATGGCTTTGTAGCAACACTTCACAATAACATATTTTGCTATTAAAATTCAAAAACTAAAAACGTAGTTTTCAGTAACTTATATAATATTAAGAAGAAAATCCCTTGAGAAATCTTTAAGTTTTAATGACAAAAAAGATTATAGCAGGCTTTCAAACTAACATCAATTATTAATAAACCCGAGTGATCCCTCCAGATACCCTAGGGAAAAACATAAAATGGTTATGACACTCAGAAACTAAAATAAGATATACATAGATTAATAAACCCAAAGAAAGGCCCATTTCATACCTTTTTATTCTTTTCCTTTTACCCCCCCTCATTCCCTTTAAGATCCATTCAACATCCATCACTTTGTTCCTTCTTTTTCCCATTCCTTCCCCTACTTTCCCCTCACAAAATACCTGCCTAAAATAACAAATGATTTTTGTTAAAAAGTGAAAAAATCCCCATGTATTTAACTGCCATCCATGACATGTAGAGTGTTATTAATTGCTGCTTACAACCTAAGGGAAGTAGAACACGTTCATAAGGAGGAACTATAATAAAGGAACTATGGAATCAAATCACTAAAAAGTACTTCACTGGCGCCTAGTAAGGCCAAGCTTTTTGAGAAGACATGGAATCTGAGCTACACTTGCAAGATGGGTAGCAGCTGGAAACCTGGCAGCAAATGGGAATTTCGGGCAAAGGAAATAGAACCACCAAAGCAATGAAGGTACACACTCACTGGTGTTTATAAGGAGCAGTAATAAACAGAGCATAGAGCATAGAATGTATGAATTATGGTGCCGGTCGCTACCTATGTGTCCATTAAAATACCTAATTTTCAGGGTGAGAAGAAACTACCACCCCCAAGTGATCTTTAATTTTAAAAATGTTTACTGACTGATTTGAGAGAGGGGCTCAGTTGGTGGAGCACTGTCTTGTACACCAAAGAAGGTTATGGGTTTAATCCTGGGTTGAGGTGTGTATGGGAGGCAACTGATAAGTATTTCTCTCTCCACCTTCCTCTCTCTCTAAAAATCAATAAAAACATATCCTTGGGTGAGAGTAAAAAATAATATAAATATGTAACAGATTTTTTATTTTTTAAATATCTTTTTATTGATTTTTTTACAGAGAGGAAAGAGATATAGAGAGCTAGAAACATCGATGAGAGAGAAACATTGACCAGCTGCCTCCTGCACACCCCCTACTGGGGATGTGCCCGCAACCAATGTACATGCCCCTGACCGGATTCGAACCTGGGACCCTTCAGTCCACAGACCGATGCTCTATCCACTGAGCCAAACCG